GATGTCATCTTCCGAATAGTGTTTGATAAATCCTTCCTGGATACTCTTAGCTAACCACTCCTTGTATGTGTTGTCAGTCGATTGACTTTGGGTCATATTTTGGGGAGACTAATCGAGAGATCATACCCAACGGAGAAATTCGTTATCAACACCGAGATGTGTCATACGTAATACAGCTAATGTGATACAGTAATTACGTAAATGCACTAATTAGAAATGAAAAGGAATTTGGTAAAACTTCTCTCTTATTGACGTCAACTGAGACGTAGAAAAGACAGTGTTCATAAAGCGAGTGCTTCAAATTCAACATCTTGCTTGAGAAGTTCAGACAATTTCTAACTACATAATCGCAGCGTTATATGTGTATATATATAATTATTATATTAATTTTAAATTCAAGTATGTACAGTGCCAATAGTATATTTTATCAACATAATTAAGCATAATAATATTATCGTACAAGTATTCCGTACGACAGGGTAAATTTCGTGTAACTTTTTTTTTTACTAATATAATTTAAAAAAATGTTCCAGGCGTCTCTTACTTTATTAACCCTTAAATATTTACAGTTCGTAAAGCTTAAATTGCTCATATGCTGTCAATTAAAATGTCTTGTATGTATTGTTCATTTCCTAATTTTTTTTTGGCTTACCATAACTGATAATGATTATCAACCAGTTGCTATAATCATCAATCACTTTTCTACAATTTGAAATACTTCATAATCGTCAACAACAAAGTTTCCAGTCTTTTCTCTGATCTTGTACTCATAGGCGTATTGCCTACACCAACACTGAGAAGATGGCAGATTAAAATTATCTTGCATCCACAGATCCGCCCCACCGAAATTCGGTCCTCTGTCTTCGAATCTCCCGATGGCAATGGCATAATGATTGAGATGCACTCGACTCAGAATCGGTGCGGATTGAGTCTCGCCATCGCCAAAGGAGAAAATAAAACTGTCTTCTGTTCTGCCACTCGATGTGTAACTCCAGTTAAGTGGATTGTATCCACCAATCACTTCACCTGTATCTTGAATGCGTACTATAACAACAGTGCGTACGCTGGAATCACATCGACTGTGGAATACTCGATTGGAGAATCCATCTCTACTGCCGCGAAGGAGTAGACGGAATTGATACGGAATCTCCCCGAGATTGTAATGTGGACCGTCCTTTCTATCGACCCAACTAGAAATGATAGCCACGTGCTTCATCTTGATGATGTTGGAATCGATGGGCTTCAGTCTTGGCGGTGATATGATGGATTGAACCTTAATCTGAGGTGCAGCATAACACCACATAATATCGTCATACAAGTCTTGCGGTAATACCGCCTTATACGGCCACACCTTTTGCCTAAACTCTCCCGGCGGTATGTGGAAAAACCTGACTAACGGAATGCACGGCCTTAACACGTCCTCCAACTCGGTAAACTCCTCGGCCGACCATTTCGACACCTCATCCATTAGTCTGTTAACCTGGCCTCTTCCCCATCTCAGTAAATACTCCCATACGTCCACTTCCTCCAGTCTCAAATCGTCTCGTTGGAGCAAGGCTACGAGAATCGACGAATCAAGAGAGAGAAAGTGTTCCGATTCAAACAGCAAGGATGGATCACCGCAGATGGTTTCCAGACAATAGGTCTGCAGCTTCTTGCAAGATTCGTATTCGAAAGCAATTACCAAGACGCGGTAAAGGTTTTCTTGCATCCAAGAAGGTTCATTGGCGACTAAGTAATCTTCGATGTCTTCGACTAGCTCTGGGAGGAGCATCTCATTCGCCGCCGAAAGGAGATCGAGGAGGAGGTCGCAGTCAGTCTCATCGAAAGAGGTTATGCCAGTATATACGTATCTATAATTAGCATCACACACCAAATTTCAGTAAAGAAAAGAGGAAAGGTTTGATAAAAAATCGAGTGAGTATTGGGAAACGACCAAGCACACTTCAAGACACATTGATCAATGATACAAGAATGCCAGAAATTCATATTTGGGAACATGTTGCTCGTATTTTCGATAATCTTGTCAGGTTATTTTATAACTACTTGTCACTGAATCGACTGTTTCATTTTTTATAACCCGCGAAGCCCAACTCTGATAACTTTTGTAGCATCACTCACCTGAGTATAATTTCAAAGACTGCAGGCGAAGTGTTGGGTTTACTAAACACCATTTTATCGCCATCCGTCCTAGCCCATTCTTTAGATAAGGCCACCTGGAAATACTTGCACTGTGCTCGTAGAATAACCGAATGCGCACGGAACGAGCGTGTGTTCTGTTCCTCGCCCACTTGGATAATCAAGTCATAATCGGTATCCTCTTCTAACAATCGGGCATAGTTTCGTGATAACCGTGACCAAGTTTTGGTAGTCATGTTGAAGGTCTTGGACAGCTTCTGGGAATTGGAGAAAGTAAGAGTTTCGGGATTTGTTTGTACTCACGGAATATGGATGAGCAGAAATGCACATAGATCCAAAGCGAGAGGGAAAATTGATGTAATTGGAAATTATAATTAATTCGGAGGAGGGTGTTGAGAGGGGTTGGAAAAGGCTTTCTTGTCTACTGAGTTGATTTTGTATAAAGGTGAAATTGTAAAGAGTTAAAAAAGTATGTCAAATACTCTGCGAGTTGATAGCAGACCTTTCACTAACAACAAATTAGTTAGTCACTGAGTAGAGAACAAAGAGTATTAGTATGTTCTAAAAAACCTGAATAAGGAAGGTGAGCATGTATCAGTAGATATATATATTCCGTGAGTGAAGGGATATAAGAAGATAACCTTTTGGGTTATGCCTACTCATGAATATTTGTAATGGTTTGCACCCGTGATCAACTTCGATTCTGTATAGCATTACTTTATTTGGCTTTCTGTGATTCTGTGTATAGTGAGGGCTTTTTATGGAATTCTCGAATAATCACAATTCCCAGTACATTTGGAAGACCCCCAAAAGCATAATAGTCAGGAATGCGTAAGCAACCGATCGACCATTATCGCATGACGATCACAAGCTGTGTGGGTTGGGTGAGAAAAAGTGTTTATCATTTTATTCGTATAAAAAACCTCAATGTCAAAATGCGCCTCATAACAAAACTCGACCATTTCATAGAAAAAACTCTAGTTGTAAACCTGATCTTGTAAAAGAACAAAGAAAGAAAACGCGTCGATTTGCACGTTGCCATACTCGCCCATTTCCAAATGACTGACCTTTCAGCCTTGTTAGATGCATTTTCTCCCAACAATTTTTCGTTCAAATGAAACAAAAGCCGAACTTTTGCCATGCACAAACCAGCTCAAGCTATGACCGAAACTAGTTTCGATGTGTATTTGCTTATAATTCTCACACATTGATTGGCTACCCACCGAAACAATTGCACCAAGCGTGCTAGCAAATTCAAGTCCAGCCTTGGTCACCAAAGCACCGTTCAAAAGGTTTAGGCTCATTGACAATTGGGGCTTCAGGGTCCCAAACACGCTTGATGCTAGGGCGAAATCTGCAGAGGCATCTTTCGGTGTGATGATTGGCTCGAATCCTGTTGTTGTCAAGTGTGGACGATTACCCGCTAGCGAAGCCTCAATGTGAAAGTTACGATACGCTATATTAGCGCCCGTATATAGACTGCCGATGACAGTGGTCGTGGCTCCCGCAGCAGCTGTAAGGGATAATTTGGGCCCAATGCTGAATAGGCCGGGGATGTGGAATGGCGTGAGTGGCACTGACATGATGCGGACATCGCTCGACTTGACAATAACCGGTAAACCCCTGTCGAGTCTAATATCAAAGTTAAATTCTAAATCACCATGAACAGAGATAAACGCTTTCGAGATGTTAACGCGCGGTAACATCTGTCCTTCAATGTGCAACGTTATAGCGGCTTTTCCGTGCGTATAGCAATCAACGCAAATAAGCGATTGTGAGATACCGGGTTGCGCAGTAGACAACGCAAAATTTCGTTTAGAAGACGCGTTTTTTTCCGAATCGTACAGAATATTGAGATCGACTACATTCTCTTTGTACAAATTAACTTCTTTGTTATTGTTAATCATCGTTTTGACTTTCTGCTCACTCTTCCTAAATAGTCTTTTGAAGAAATTTATTATTCGTGCAAATATGCCCATTTTCTTTGTCTCTTCCACATCCGAGGAGGGAGTGTCTGGAACATGTTTTGTCACTTTATGGTAAGTCAAGCTTAAGGAGAACGTATCCGTATGATCGGACATGTCGCATGGATTCACTTGAAAGGATGCTTCCTCTCTTTCAAAATCAACATTGATATCATATGTCATGTAAAACAATGTTTCTTCTTTGTTGAAACAATGCCAATGCTGGCTAATCATCAATATCACGTTTACCGGCCATTGTTGCACTTCCTCTAATGCAATTGGGTCTCTAATTTTCATGATAATCATGTTTTCGTCTCTGCATTCAACGTTCAAGACTTTATCGGCTTCGTCAGGGTTAAAAGCAGGTGACTTTGTTTCCAATGCTACATTGGCGCGGTTGTAAGTGTCAAAGTTTTGGACATAGCTGCCTTGCAGTTGTGTAGTCAGTCGCAGACGACTGGCATCATATGGTTGGAAGAGTGGTTTGCTGAATGACACATTAGGACAGCAAGCCAACAAGAGGTGAAGAGTTAGAAAGACAAAAGACGGAAACCGTTTAAAAATGCGAGAGTGCATTGAAGTAATTAGGACCGGGGGAGTCTTTGATAAAGAGGGAGGGGGGACTTTATATTTCCAAATGCAGAGGATAGTGTTTTTATGCAAGGTTCTCAAAATGGTTCTCTTAAGATGGACACAGCAGCTTACTTGTAAAACCAAACCAATAAAGTTGCGGTAAAGTAACGATGGCCATAAAATTTAACCTGAAATGAGCAAACAGACGTTATCTCACATGAAATTTAGTGACATTGTATAAGCCTCGTTGCTAAGTTTGAGATCTTGCAGCCATTCCTATAATTTGATAGATTTGTAAAAGCGGTAACGAGGGATATGAATATATTTTGTATTGCATATTTGGGCAACGAGTTTGGTGACCTGACAACTGTTCGATTATCAATCTCTTGAAAAAAAAATCAAGCGTGAACTTTATTTGGCGAGTTTTACGTCAATTCTTGTCAAGCAATGCGAAAATAAAAACACTATACTATGCCAGTTTCTTCTCCCTTTAATATTCAAAACATTTGTTACAAAACCAATGCGTGTTGATTAAACTGGTGCACAGTTGTAATTAAGATTCCACAGTGAAAGTCACTCTTTACAAGGAAGTAGATAATCTGTCTCACATAATTAGCTTCCATAATTGCGACAAAAGAAACAGTCACGCGCTTAGCCATGCAGTACAACATGAATTCTATTTGATGAAAATAGCCTTTGAATCATACATGGGGCAGACTGCAACAAAACCAGACGAACATTCTATAAATGAGGGACTTATTATAATGTGACTGTAAAATTGATCAGGGTGAATGATGACGTTTTGGAAAGTAATAATGATAAATGGTGCTCATTCATGACTTCTTATTCTGGACTTGTTAATTCTAATGCTCACTTTATCATACCAGAATGCGATGAATATAAACCATAACATGATTAATATAGTATTACCTCTATATATAAAAATATAATATGAAACTAATTTACATCAAATTCACTATGGAACCAAAGAATTACAACACTATTAAAAGTATTTTAAAAAAAAACAAGGAGAAAAAATAGCCCCTTACGTTTTTAAAATCAATGATACCCAAACTCTCCAGGCATATCTAGATCAGGAAAAAATTACTTATGAAACTTATCAAGAAGAACAAAAAATAACAAAAATTAAACCCAACTTATGAAAAAAAAATGAACGAAATTGCCGACTGCTGACGCAGTAAGCGAGTCACATGATAAAATCTTCCTACAAACCCCAAACTAAATTTAGTAACGTAGTACTAATGGTAAACAACAAAAGTGGCGACACTTTGGCGACACTTTGGAGACACAAGGTGTAAACAAAGCGTAATTAATTTAATTTAGAATAATTAGTATATTTATAGCTTTAAACATTCAAAAGCCATATAAGCGACCTCTAGCCATCGTTCAATCTTCATGTTGTTCTTGATAACTATTATTCCACGGGTCACGAGCTTAGTCAATTATTGTAGCGCGTTAATAACAATCGTTGATTTAAATAGTTTCGTTGAGAATTAGAATAAGTGACGTAACCCTGACTAGTCAAAACACTGAATCGAAGCCTGCCCTGATAAATTTTAGTATTAAAATTATCCTTCGATTCCGCTTTATTCTATAGTTGTTAATAGAGTACTGCGGGTACCCTTATTCAGATACGAGTACCGGTTGAGTATATCGTATAGGAGTAGAAGATATCGCGAGTATAATTATAAAACGAGTCACTTATAAATTTGGTTCAGTCTTAATTGACAATCGCTATAATAAGGGTAGCAATCTGAGCTAAATTTGGTATATCCCCCTCTCGGTTGAACACGCCGACGCAATTGTTCGCTCTCCCAACCAAACAAAATACACCGACCGTAACAAAATATCTAAGAATCTTTGGTTGAGGGAACCAATAATTATTTCTTCTTTTTCTCTTTTCAACAATATATGTAGTACTAAAGTTATAATAGACACGGCACATGTTTTTTTTTAAAAAATGATCTATCACACCAGGGTAAGTGGTGTTGCAGCACCACACTAAATAGCAAGATGAAATAGCAAGATTTGTGTGATAGATAATAATACTAAAACAGGGAAAATGTTCGCAGATCGCTCAGAAGTCACGCGTAAATCACGGGACTACAAGACATCTTTGATCCGGGAACTTGACGCGACAGGCTACGTGTTATCAGTTCTACAATTTGAAATTTCGCACAGTAAAGAAACGATAGTATTTTCGAGATGACGAAGCATGGATGGCATAGATATTTCGACGACAATGATGTCAGGTAATTGGAGTATCTGTGGGTTTCATGAAACATGGATACGTCAAAATAGAGACGATCCAAAAAACCTACGCTACCAAAAGGCAAATGACGTTCTCACAAAAAGTCTACGTTTGCTTATTAATGATTGCGAAGATGACGTGAAGAAACAGGGAGCTGCGAAACTTCTAGCAAACAAGGCGGCAAGTATATTATTATAGTAGAGTCAGCGAGTTCTATTTATACTTTTGTGGGAGTTGGTGAGATGTGAACTGTTGTCCATACTAAGAGGAATCAACTTTTCGCTGATCCTCTGAATGCCTTTTTGGATGTGTGGCAACAGTGTCCATGCTAGGAGGAATCAACTTTTTGCTGATCCTCTGAATGCCTTTTTGGATGCATGGCTTGTCACAATGCCAATATGCGTGGGGTTAGAGTTAGGAAGAATTATACTTATTTGTATATTATGTGCAATACACCACATCGTTTCTTAACCACATTTTCTCTTACAAGGGCAAACGCAATCGTGGAAGTGATATTGATGAATTGTGGACTCTCATAGAATGCAAGAATCTCGAGAAAGTATCACTTACAAAATTAAATTGTCAACAGGTTAGTTCACGAATTTTGATTATACTCATTAAGGACAATTACAGAGTTGACTTTTCTGATTAAATTACCTTGATCAAGGTTGAGAATGTCACAATATACTCAAGCGCTTTAACTGATGCTGCGATGACAAATTTAAGCAACATTATATCAGAGTTGACATCTGTCTTGCCGAGTAAACGACCTTTTGAATGTCTTGATTCAGAAACAGCATCAATAAGACAAGAAGCAAATAAAGATCTTGATCCACAACCAGAGGGAGCAAAAACACCACCACCCAGATTTTTTCCAAATAAAGAGATACTCCTTTCTACTCCAGCAGCAGCAACTAGCCAGTGCTAAGGAAGAGTTCAGTTCTCACTTGAAAGCCTTAAATGTTTCAAAGAATTGACATGATAAACAAAAGCAAGAATTATTAGATAAAATTCAAAGACATGAAAGTGAGGTTGAATTCTTAAGAAAACAACAGACTCAACATGTTGCTCAAATTGAAGTTAAAGAAAATAAGAGATGACCTTGATTAAAATTAAAAAAAATAATTTTTCTAATAGTGCTGTAATTTTTGGGTTCCATGGTCGATTTAATGTAAATTAGTTTCATATATTTATTTTATATTAATATAGGGATAATCCTATATTACTCCTGTTATGGTTTATATTCCTCACATTCTGGTATGATAAAGTGAGCATTAAAATCAACAGGTCTATAAGTTATGAATGAGCACCATTATTACTTTTCAAACCATCATCAGTCAAATTAGTTAACTTTCAACCACACCAGCATCTTATTTAAGAATGTTCACTTTGTCTGGTTTTGTTGCAGTCTGCCCCACATCAAGTTTGCGGCACGTTCATTAGATGACTATTTTCAATTGATGACAATGTAATTCGGAATGTCAATTGGCGCTTTTCCGTGTTAACCTTCAATATCAACGTGATGAGTTCATTATAATTTTTAATGACATTACATAATTATTAATATGCTGTAATATTCTAGCACCACGTGTAACAAATCTAATAAAAGTCGTATAATAATAATAAAGAATGTTTTGTTCTCACGTCATTGTTTACACAAAACGAGTATGTATCATATCAATTTATGGACCCAAATGGTTAGTTCAAAAAAAAACTGTACCAGGGAACAAAGATTAGAACTACAATATCAATTCGAACATCCCCATTTATAAGGCGAGTTTAAACGCAGCTTACCTACGATTGTAATAGGACAGGATAATAATAATACATTTCCCACGTCCTAATTGTAGTGGAGCAATCATGTCAGCATAATTAACAACATTTTAAAAATATGTTCTTCCTTGTTACACATGGTAATATTACGTCATTATTATTTGAATACGTTTGGGAACTAATCATTATTCGGTATGTCATTATTATTCGTATTGTTGTCACCGAATAGTACAATTCCACATTTGAATACCTTATATAAAAAATCAATAAAGTAAGACATCGTAAACCCGGGGGGGAAAATCATGGTCGTCTTTGACATGTCGCCTGCGACAGAGCTCAACGCTGATGTCATTAATCTTATCTTTGAGTATATCGAAGACGATATACCTGCTCTCTACAACAGTATACTGGTGAACAAATACATTTATGACAAACTCATTCCTCTCTTGTACAAAAATCCATTTCATTATATGAACACACTTTTGAGAGGAACTATAAACAAAACAATAAGAAATAAATGTAGAGCTCTCATAACTACGTACATCAAATGCTTGCCTTTAGATAGACAGCTCTTCTATCATAAAGTTGGTGTCATTGAAAAGCCAAGCTATCCGAGGCATCAACACGAACAATACCTTAGATCGTTAACGATCAATCACTTTATAGGGTCGTTGAATGCAACTAAATATCATCAAATTGCCGATTCGCATGGTGTCTTTTATCACGACCTTATAACATTACTGGTAACCGGCAAGAAACAGCTGCAAATGCTTCACATAGAAGACACGCATTTTCATATTTTCGAAGATTTTCTTCAAGATCTTTCGCCTTCGCTAAAATCGTTGCGTTTGGATATGAAATATTACATTAATGAAGATATTAGTCATTTAATTAACAACTTACCCAACATTGAAAGTTTGGTTATTTCATTTGCCAAACCAGAAATTGATTACGACCTGTTGGAGAATATGGGAAGAATAAAGGAATCGCTGGTGAGGCTGGATATCGAAGGCGATCTCGGAAAGATTGATTTTAAATTTCTCCATATAATGAAAGAATATAAGCAATTGAAAGTTATATATATTAGAAAACATGAACATTTATGTAGTTAATCAGGAAACGGAATTTATGTCAAAAAGTAAGTATTTAGTAAGCACTTGTAGTTTTTTATATAATCTTTTTCATGAAAATAAAAAGGCTTGTATCGCACCGAGGAAGGCGTGAAAATTCATATATAGAGTGGATAATATAAAATTTATAGCACGCGAGGTTTCTTCCCCTTTATAATATTGTTGACGAGACTGCGGAAATACGGACTAGAAGTTTACAATGTTAAAATAATCAAACACTTGAATTGCAGCACCGGAATCTTGCTGACGTGAAAACGTCCAAGCAATGTATAGTTATTGCCATAAGGGCATTCTATCCTTTCGTCTGCCTACCTGCGCGAGACATATGGGAATAACAGCACAATTTTCTACAAGTTGTGAAATAGTATTCCAGGTACAGTCAACGAAGTGGTGCGAAACATGCCCGGTTTACCAGTTGTAACCCTAATGAAAAGAAACAATATAATGAACATTTGGATATACATGACCAACTTAATAATAAGCTGAAGATTGATTTACCAATATCTTCGCTCATTGGATTTTCGCACCAAGCTAATTCATACATCTGTTCGTATAATTTTTCGACTTATAATTCAATTTTATAATAAAAAACTCTTTTAAACCTTCATATAGTTTAACTGGTTCCATTTTTTCACTAGCCGTGATCCTTTCCTGAATACATTATTTCCATATCTTTGTTTATCCATGGTTGACAATAGAATAAAATTTTCACTATTTCCTCGCCAAAGACTATTACTGTTTTCCATTTAGCTTTGCCGTCTGGTATGAAGTGACTTTGATGTAAAGGATTCGTAAATCTGATGATGAATTTTCTTGACGTTTGGCGATTGTCTTATTCAGTTGGTTTTTAGCATATCTAGTAATTGCAGTTGTAAAAGATGAGCAATTATGTCATAAAGCAATAGTTTTCGAGTCCAAACTCTTATCAAATCTGTCGGACAACGATTGTTTTATTTGTATTACGTAACACGTTTATATCTGTGGACATATCATCACTCAACTAATAACGATTTTCCCACTAAAATATGTCCCAAGGCCAATCGTCTGACAACACATACAAGGAGTGGTTAGCTAAGAGTATCCAGGAAGGATTTATCAAACACTATTCGGAAGATGACATC